ATTATCTTTGAATCCTAAAACTGATCTAGCTAAACAGAAAACCTCTTTGTCCTTATTCAGTCGGCTAAGCCTATTGGCACTACTACTGCCAAGAATCATTTCGCATTCTTTGAAGTCTGTTTGATGCCATTCTGCAGTTTACACCAATGACAGTTAAATCCAATAAAACAAATTTTATTATTCAGAAATGTAAATGAGGTCATCCTTCTCTAGTGTACAGAGATGCTAGTCATGAATATCTTTCTGATGAATGTTCTCCTCCATTTACAGTGGGATTAACCTTCGTTTCCAACTGGGAATGTCTGTTATGATGGTGAATCCCCTTTTGATGTTCAATTTGAACATCATAACTTTGTAGCATCAGAACTCATCATGTGAATTTAACAATCTGAGGTATGGTTAAAGTGAGATAATTCAGGAAGTTGTAATCAGTGACCATAGTGACTAAACCTCTGGTAAACTGTATGTAACAAAGAATGGTTATCTCATGTTTAAATATATCTGAAAGAAGAAATAAGACTGGAGACTCAGGTAGTGTAACTGGCAATGCATCCAAACGGAAAGCAGCAGTTGCAGGTTTGAGTCCTGCTCCAGGCCAATTCTTTCCTTCCAGAATTTTTTAAATTATTTAATTTAACTATAAACCTCTTGTAGATCTATAGTTCAATTCACCATAACTTTGGAATATTGCCAAAACTAAGCTACTTTTAACACATATCCTCAAAATATCAATGCGTGGTTGTAATTATGACAATTTATGATGTTTGATTATTATTCACTTGCATTACTAAATTTTTTAAATATCCAAAGCAATTTTCAGTACAAATGATAATATAGAATTTTCACACATAATTTTTTAATAGCAAAAGACTACTGTAATTCTATTTTTAAGTTAATCACAAATTTCAAAGAAGGTATTTTATTTTTCACTAACATATTTATCATTTTATGCTGCTACAATGGGAAAATACAATGGGTAGTCATTTTGATAAATTTTACATAAAATACAAATGACATTATTAATATAAAACAAGTAACTTTCAACCTTCAAATTCAAAATGCATGTAGATATGGTATTACTATATGTAATTGTTATATTTTAAAATACTTAAGTTAGCTATGTGCTGAATTTTACACTAATTTAAACTCTCGCCATAATTAATTAGGCTGTTATTATGCTATAATTAATAATTAGAAACAAAGTAATTTGGTACTAGAGGTACATGTTAAGCATCATCTCTTATCCAAATTAATAATTTAATAAATAATTTAGAACATTCTGGAAGAAAAGAACTAGCCCAGAATGGGACTTGAACCTGCAACCTCTGCTTACCATGCAGTGCACTTGCTAGTTATGTCATCTGGACCCCAAGCAAGTCTTTGTTTCCAGATATATTTAAATTTTAAATAGGCCTATAGATATAATCATTCATGATTACTTATGGTGCTGACTGGAGGTGACTCCTATGCTTGCAGCCTATGTACTCTGTGGCATTCAGTCGGTGGAACACATAACAGCTCTGTTAATTATGACTAGAGTTTGGCTTAGTATCAATACATCAGGCTTTGGGATGTTGGTATATTTAAACTAATTTCAATGGTGGCAGTAAATTGAAGTTTCATGTTATTTGCACTCTATACATCTACATGCAATAGACCTATATTATAATATTTAACATCCTTTGAAAAAACATGAAAATTACATGCTTAGAATACACATGCAAGATTCAACAGGTCTTCATTTACAAGAAACAAATATATGTATATCGTCTAATAACAAATAACATTTTAGCTTCAAAAATCCCTTATCAAATTTACTTTTGTATTTTATTTAAACATATTTTCAAAATTTACATACATTTCTCTAATAATTTACTTACAGAAGTTTAATTGTTTTCATATAATTTTAATATTTTATTCTGACTGTGATCTTTCTATAGTTTGCTCTGACAACCCAAAAGTTGAGTTTTAACCTGTGGCTCCATTAAAATGTTCTGTGNTAACAATGTCGTTTGATTCTGATGAAACCGTGTTGTTGTTATTAAGCTGTTTCTTTGCAGACACACTAAGGTGACATATATCAACACTTGGCAACTTATTGACTATTTATTCAGTTGGTATACCAACTGAATAAATAGTCAATAAGTTGCCAAGTGTTGATATATGTCACCTTAGTGTGTCTGCAAAGAAACAGCTTAATAACAACAACACGGTTTCATCAGAATCAAAAAAAATATATTTTCATATCGATTTGATTAACTCTTTATCAAAATATATATGTGGCCCTGAAAAGAGCTTTTTTTTTTTGCTTCAGAAAGATCCTTAATACCATTCATATTTCTAGTATCCTCATTGTAAGCACTGGTATATTCAGTATTATAATATGATTCTTGTTTATAAATTACCAGTCTTTTACTATCCACATTATCATCAATTTGGAGAGTGCTGGTCAATAATCCAAGTTTCATGTACTGTACATATGCTTGAAAGGGCTACTGTTATCACACAGTAGCAATCTTGATCTCCACTTTTGCACAGTCTAGATTGCTGAAATTCCATTTCTTGGCTTATCTGATCAACTGACATCATCTCTTTTAACTTTTTTCTTTGTATGTCAAGGATTGTGTACATGCTATAAGGGTGCAAGACACCAGAGTCTCATGTACTAGAATCATGAATGCCTTTTAACAGTGTGACTCCTAATAATCTGGCTCAGACATCAGCCAAAATCAAGTACAAACTAGATACTATCAAGAACATATGTGGAAATATACTAGTTTCATTTAATATTTTAAAATTTATAATTGGTTAGTGACCACAACAAATTTTTTTTGTTTCGTTTTTTTTTGCTCAATGAGTGTTTTTGTTCTTTGAGCATAACATAACTATATGAAAAAAATGTGTTGTGGTCACTTTAAATCATCCACAATGCATTGTGTCACTTTAAATCATCCACAATGCAGTGTATAAAAAGGTCCACAATGTGTTGTGACTAACTCAAAAAGACCACAAAGCAAAATGAAACCTCAGGAGCTCACAAATGTTCAGAGTGTCATGACTATGTTCATGTTATCTGTGGAGAAAACAACGAGAATGAGGGATTTGGTTACTTGCAAGCTCTGTTTAAGAAAAAAAGCATCAATGCCGAGAGAGAATATGCCAAATCTGGCCTAGAGAAACAGGCACATAAAATCATTTCACTATCCAACTGAACATTTTCTGCAGTTGAAATTGGTTTGAATGTTTTAGTTAGGATACTTGATGTTGATAGGGGATGTGCAGCTCCCAGAAATGTTTTAGCTGTTGTTACGAGCATTAATCTATCAGGTCTCCATCAGTTAGGAAACAAGGAAGGTCTTATTGATTGACTTTATGCTCGCAATGAATTTACAATTTCTGAGAGTAACTTTATTAACATTCAAGCAGTACCCTCAACTTCATTAACACTTTTCTCAGCATCCATGTTAACATCTGGTTTATAATATGTCACTGTAAAAGATACTGTATTGATAAAAAATGCAAATGTCACTCAAAGAACATAAAAAGCAACTTGAAATGTCATGGTAATAGTTCTTGTAAAAATAAAAAACTCTGCAACATTCTTGATTCTCATAAAAAAGACTGATTTATTAATAAAAGTTTCCGACAAAGTAATTATTTTTAGTAAATTAGTTGTTAGAAAATGTTGACATCTTGAGCACTGCAACAGATTTTCATGAACGATTAAATGTTGTTGAAAAGTAACCAAGTTACATTTCTGTATGTGGTGAATAATTTTGTTACCTACTTATATAAGATGATTGAAAATAAATAAATGATAATGAAAAAGAAAGTTTTATTTTCTTATCATCACCTCGTTATTAGTTAACATCCAGAACTTGTGGGGGCTTTTAACCATAATAAATCCATCGCACAGTGGTTTGTAACTTTAGCAACTGATTTTTATGTCATTGTGTATAGTATATCAAGCACCTACTAGTATACAGTCGATCCCCCTATAAGATCATTGATTTTTCCGTTTTATCTGAATTACATGTTGTACGAGTCACTTAGATTTTACAAATATGTGAGCCGTTCACAGCCCGGCACACGTATTTGTAAAATCTAAGTGACTCGTACAACATGTAATTCAGATAAAACGGAAAAATCAATGATNCGCTTTGTGGTCTTTTTGAGTTAGTCACAACGTGTTGTGGCTGTTTTTTTGCTCAATGAGTGTTTTTGTTCTTTGAGCCTAACATATATACACACACACACAATTGTACCACTTAAAACTAACACTTATAAAGAAAATTCTTGCATTAACACAAATTTTGCTGTTGCCCTGGCAAAACATTAATTTTCATGCAAAAAAGCAAACAAAAATTTTATAAGAATATCAGAGGGTGCATAAAGTGATACCAGGTTTGACAACTTTGTACCAAAGTTGGCTTCTTTTTTACTCTTGGCACCGAAAAATATTTTCTACTTTTTCAATCAATCTTCAACAGAAAAAAATCATAGATTTCTTTTAGCATTGTTTTGTTTAACCACTCTGATACACTGCTCCACACTTAAATGGCAAATATTGTCTCGTCCTCATTTTGTTTGATTTAAAAATCATTAAAATTAAATTTATTTACAAAAATAAATTAACTTTATTTAGTAAATTAACTTAAAATATTATAATTTAAAGATTTTGATTGCATATTAATCCTTAACTAACCTTCATCCTGAAAATCTTTAATACGAATTTTTGATAAAGTGAACTACTTACTGTTCCCATAGAAATTCATATTAATTAATGTGAATTGCTATGAATAAAATATATATATATTTTATTTATTTATTTTATATTAATATTTGATTGATAACTGATATAAAGATCAAATTGAGAATGACAGACAAATTATTATGATGCTATTTATTTACTTACTTTTAGTACAATTATGAGTATAGAAATAAATAATTTAATACTTTGTAAACAATTTGTACAAAATATTTTTAAAATTTAAATTTACCTTTTTAAAATATCTTCAAATATATTTAAATGTCACTCGATAATCAATTACTTTTTATTGATTTTTCCATTCCAAGCAGTCATTATCTTGGGGAACAGAAAACCTGAAAAAACAAAACAAAACTCAAATGAATTCACTTTTTAATAAGTGTTTGTGTAGCAACTAAATTATATTCTTGGAAAAAATAAAATAATTTATTGTGGAACATTCAAAATAAAATTTATTATTATTAGAATACCATAATAAAATTATTAGATTATCTTTCACAAATCAAAATTATATGTATCATAAGAATTAATTTTTTAAAATATATTTATTGCATATTTTTTTTTATCGTTTTTTAGTTTTTTTTAATGCCTTCAATATTATACACAAATTATTATTATTTATATTCTTAATACTTTAATGAAATTTTTTTTATTATATTTTAGTAAAAAATATTTACAAAAATACAATTTATTTAAAATTTATTGCTTTCTTTGTTTTGTATTTTAAATTGTATATAAATTCCTTTCTGTTTACTTAAATAAGCAATTGATAAAAACAATTTTTTTTATTTACTGTTATTATGCATATAATTTTTATTTACTGTTATTATAGATATCTCATATCTTTATATGAGTTATCTATTTATGTATAATTCATATATACTCAATAGTAGGGGATTAAATTAAGAAATGTAACTGATAAATTAAGTGAAAATTTGTATATTTTTAAAGAATAGAATATAAATCATATCATAAAAATAAAATTGAAAATTATCTTTGTTTTTATCAGGACTTTTTAATATATAATAAACTTTCTGAAGCATAGATACTCAACCAAATGAGTGCTATAATTAATCAGGCTATAAATTTGCTATTATTAATGATTAGACATTAAGTAATTTGGCATTAGAAATATACATTACACACCATTGCTTATTTAAATTAATAATTATAATTTTTAATAATTTATTAAATAATTTAAAATCATCTGGGAAAAAGAACTAGTCTGGAGTAGGACTTGAATCCACAACCTTCGTTTAACATGCTTGCCAGTTAAGTCACCCGGACTTCTAAGTATTCTTCACTTCCAGACATATTTAAACATATCCAATCATTAATAATAGCAAATTTATAGCCTGATTACTTATAGTGATCATTTGGTTCAGGATTTTTAATCTTTTCTAGAAAAAATGTAATTAAAAAATTTTATAAGAAGTTTTAATTGAAGAAAATACATTAGAACCTCACTAATTCAGACTAATTGGAGAAAAGACTAGTCCAAATTGGCAGAAGTCTAAATTAGAGAGATTTTTTTTTCACTCAAATACATGCATATAGTATGATACAAAAAGTATGCTTTAAATAAAGTCAAATTTTATTGTGCAGTTTAAATGAGCAAAATATTTAAACAGTAAACATCTAGAAAATAAATGTTATATGCACATGAACCATTGTGAATGTTGATTTTGTGCAATAACATGTCCATTAATACTTTTGCAGGTTAATCAATCTATCTTAACACAGTATAGTCATGCACTGTTATCATCTTCAGATTAATTACATGAACAAATTGGAAGCATATAGTAATGAAAGCTGATACAAAATATACAGCAATGTCTGCAATTTTCAGATCATGTATAATTGAAGTTGCAGCTGATTGTTTTGAAGTCTAGAAGAACGAGGGAATGGTCAATCAGTACCATATCTTATCCTCACTGTGACTGTCAAATTTCAACAACTGTTTTGACTAATTTCAACAGAAATACAGAACAAAAATAAAAGATTAAAAAAATAATAACAACAATAAAATAGCAGGTTGGATTTTAGTTAGAAGCAAAGTATTGAATTTATAACAAATTCCTTATTTATGCATGTTTGAGGCATTCTGAAATAAATAAAACCCTGTATCAGGTGCTGATAATTAAATAGGCCTATTCTAGATTACCATATTTGTATTTACAAGCATGCTATGAAGTCAGTAGACCAAGCTCTTGATTCCAACTCATAGAATTTTAGAAAATCTGACTCCATTCCTGCCTCTAAATAATAATTTATAATATACTTTGATTCTATTAACTGAGAATAGTATTTCATCACTACCAAGTGAATCTTCAGGTATTCTTATCAAAACAGAAAGTACTTATTTTTTTCAAAGTTTTTCATTATCACCACTATCATCTTCAACCACACACTGATAAAATGTTTTCCTTGTTGGTCTTAGTATAGTATTCAAAAATACTAAATTTAACCTGAGTCTTATTAGCCATTTTCTATAGGTCTTTTGACAATAAAAATTTAGAATAAGATAACACTAAATGTATTAAAGAATAAATTTCTAAAAAGAAAATCGACAGTAATTAGTTGATATGCAAAGAAAGATCATAAAGTAATGAAATAATCATAAAATAAGATCTTGCACTATAGGAGCCTCCTGTAATGCAAGGTAGGAAGTTAACACTCCTGTTAAGTGCTTAATTAATATAAAGTACATAATAAAAAGAAAAAAAGGTTGGAGTTGCTCCATTTTTACCAACTTAATTAAACTCCTCTAGCAATGAATTTGCTTCCAACTCTGACTCCATAGCCCTGTTTATATCATTTACAGTTACCTTTTCCTCAGCTTCTGATCTGGGGTAATTGTAAATGCAAAATGTTACAATTTAGCTATGTATCATAAAAACTATAAAAGATAAGGAGATAAAAATCCTACCTTAGTATAATCCTTTACTAATTAATACAAAACTATGGCACAAAATATCACTAATGATAGTAGCAATCATATTTGCAGACAACACTTAATCCTGAAACCAAAAGCATGGACATTTCATCTTTAGTAAACAAATTAAATTTTAAATATAAGTTTAGGACAATATGTATGAAGACCTACATAAATAAAACAACTTCTGTACTTTCAAAGAGTCTAAACTAGATTTTCAAATTGTTCTGGAAAATTTACAGGAAGAAAAATTTACATTATCCCACAAATCTTATAACTTTGATACCTTATTATTATTTTATTCTATTTGTTTAAAATATTCTATACAGTGACATTCTGTTAACCTGCACCGTTGGGATTGACATGGTGTCTGGTTATCAAATATGCTGCCTTATTAGATGGTAGAAGTTTTCCCCAATTTTTTAATCCCTGAACACAATTTTATATATTTTTGCTTGTAAAACTGTACAAATCTGCTTTTTATGGTCATCTAACATGCCATTTCAATATTTCCAGGCTATTCCTACCCTTAGTACGTACAAAACAAGAAAACACTATTCTTACTTTGTACAATGTACACTTTTGTTTTGTATAAATACAGATGTATTCTAATTATCAAAGTACATGAACAGTATTGTACTGTAGCTGTTTCCATAATAATTATTGATTCCAAGTGTACTAAATATTTCTGCATCTCACTTCGAACACTTGTAATAATGTCTTTGAAAAGTCTTTTAAAAAAAACATCATGTACAAGATAACTGGTTTTACCTATGACAGCATCATGTCATCTTAGCATTTGTCATTTCTAAAAGGAGAACCTATGCTCCTTTCTAAGAACTACATGTTTTGGGCACTTTTACATGAAAATCTTAACTCTAGACCTACATAGTGCACCAATAATCTTCCCCAATAACAAGCTCAACATGCTGGCTTATCAGATTTGTTGGCGTACTGGATGCCAGGTTAACAGAATATCATTGTACTTATATTTAAATAATCCAAAAGACGTTTCATACACAAGTAACATGGTTATTGCTTTAATTGCATTACCTGACAACAAAGACATAAAAATAAATATAAACATATATAATAATTAAAATGTTACCTGATACAAATATTTGTATGTTACACGTTATCTTGCATGTAAACAAGCCAATCAAGAAATAGTAGATTTAATAATTTAAATCTAATATTTCCTGATCATCTTGTTTTTATTAACTTTCAAACTATATAAATAAATAATTTAATTTAGTTTAGTGTAAATTAAATGTTATTATCTCATTGGTATAAAATCCACAATCTTATGCTATAGCCCAGTGTTTCTCAACAGGGGCGATATCGCCCCCATGTGGGTGTTTTTCCATGTTCAGGGGGCAATTAGCAACAATTTATATTTTGGGGGCGAAAAACAATTTTCTGCGCAATGTAGTAAAACATTATATTAAGAATAATTAGATATCTTATTCGTTATATCATACAATAATTAATTAAACAAATAACATTATACTAGTCACTAGTCTATTCAATGCAGTACGAATTTGGCGTTAGCCTTGTCCTCGGCATCGTAATTTTGTAGTGAAGGGGGTGATACTATGTAATGGTTTTATTGAAGGGGGCGACAATTCGTTAGAGGTTGCGAAACACTGCTATAGCCTATAGGGATCATATATCAACTTGTCATAAAATATTCTTAAAGCTTCTTTGTTTCTTCTACAGATTGTTATTTCATTTCTATATAATTAGGATATTTCTTCAAAATCTTAACAATTCTACTGTTAAAAATTTTGAAACAATGTGCTAATTATAAGGAAAGAAATAAGTGTGAAGAAAAAACAGACACACTAATCAAATCATTAAAAAACTGGATTATCTCAGCTATATTTTGGCTAACTAACAACTAACAACACAGTCACAGAGTGCTGTTAATTATTAGTTTTTGTTTGAGAGATATGGTCACATCTCAAATTAAGATTTGAAAGCACTGATTGAACTGAGGTCTGGATAATGCACCTATTACTACATCTGCATGGTAAGCATAAGTTTTGGGTTCAAATCCTATTCTGGATTGAGCTTTTCCTCCAGAGTATTCTAAATATATTACAAAGAATTGCTTTTTAGCCCATAGTATAATTACATTAATTAAATATCTACTAATGTGGAGTAGATAATAGTAAGGACTTATCACACTAGTGATAAGTCCTTACTATTATCTAGTGTAATAAGTATTATATACTATTATATAGTGTAATAATACTAGTGTAATAAGCACAAACACCCAGGTATCAATGTATTGATAGTACATTTAATAAAATAAAAGGGGTGTACATTAAAAGTCGATTACATAAGTATGATTAACTAAAATGCATTTCAGGCTATTGGAGATAATACCAACTGATGAGGAACTATCTCCAATAGCCCAAAATGCATTTTGGTTATTCATGTTAATTACTCATACTTATGTAATTGACTTTTAATGTACACACCTTTTATTTTATTAAATGTACTACCTTGATACCTGAGTGATTGTGCTTACTATCACTAGTGTGATAAGTCCTTATTATTATCTACCCCATATTAGTAGATATTTAATTTATTTAATTATTAATATTAGTACAAAATGGCAGTCTAACCACAAAATCATATAGTAAACCAAACTCAAATTATATATTAATATTCAAATGTTAACATCATATTTGTTATTAAACTATAACTCATAATTTAGTCTAGAGATAGGTGGTAGCTTACTTTTAGTCCAAATTACATAAAAATTTATATATTTAATTAACCAGTTATAGCTTGATAATGAATCTGAAATTATCATTTGACTATTAATTTATAATTTGATTTAACTTATATATATATATATCATGCCAGTATAGAGCTTTAAGTTGACTGAGTGCCCTGAGCATATTATTGTATCTTCTAAATAAGGCCCACCAGTGACCAAGCAGTTCCATTCCCTGAACAATAAAGAGTTCAGTCATGGATTTGCACCTTGCTAGGACGGACTTGGCCATATGCAGTTTTCCATGTCTTCTCCACACTTGTAACTTCTGAATAGAGGCCAGTTACCCTTAAAAAGATCTCCTGGAAGGTATCCCTCCTAGGCTTATCACCCAAGTGTCGTGTTGCTGTAACTTAACAAACAAACAAGTATCTTCTAAATTAATCGATCTGGAAATGATGACCAGATGGAGGTCCTGGGAGTGTAGTTGGTAACATNATATATTTAATTAACCAAGTTATAGCTTGATAATGAATCTGAAATTATCATTTGACTATTAATTTATAATTTGATTTAACTTATATATATATCATGCCAGTATAGAGCTTTAAGTTGACCGAGTGCCCTGGGCATATTATTGTATCTTCTAAATTAGGCCCACCAGTGACCAAGCAGTTCCATTCCCTGAACAATGAGAGTTCAGTCATGGATTTGCACCTCGCTAGGACAGGCTGGCCACGTGCAGTTTTCCATGTTTTCTCCACACTTGTAACTTCTGAATAGGGGCCAGTTACCCTTAAAAAAATCTCCCAGAAGGTATCCCTCCTAGGCATATCACCCAAGTGTTGTGTTGCTGTAACTTAACAAACAAACAAGTATCTTCTAAATTAATCGATCTGGAAATGATGACCAGATGGAGGTCCTGGGAGTGTAGTTGGTAACATAATAAAACTGGAAGAGGAAAAAATATTCTTGGTCTGTGAAACTAACCTGTAATGACTATATTTTTCATCTTGTAAGAATTTCATTTTTTTTAAATGACTTTAAATACCAAGGTTGACTGAATTCCTAGATAATCAAACACTGGTTAATGGAAATTTCTACTGTTAATGAATTATCACTGCATTACAAGACCAAAAATTTATGTTTTCTCTAAATAAAATAATTTCAGATATACATTTACATTAAACAAATAAATCAAATTTCAGCTGAAGATAAGTTATTAATTTTTCAAATACTTTCAACATCTTATAAAGACATTAATCAGAGTTAACTCTAACATTAAATAATATTACATTATGTAATTTAACATTGCAAATTATCAATACAAAGAAATAGGAATTATTTATATGCAACATACAAAATCTTTAAATATGTATTGTACAGTAATTTCAAATTTCAAAATACTTAAACTTAAACTGTGTAAAATAATACAGAATTTCAATACAGATTTTCAATTTTTATTGAAATTCTATACTGGAATACAAAATAGATTAGGAGTTAATACAATTGAAATAGAAAACATGACTATACTTTGAGCAATTTGAATATAATCAGGAAGGTGGCTTCTATAATCAAATATGATTACCATATATTTGCGCAGATAAGATGATAGTTGAATCATAAAAAAAAAGACCCCCAAAATCCGGCACGTCTTATAGGACAGATATATAAATTTCAATCTAATTTTCTTTTTGTAAATTAAAATTATTATAAAAAACAGAAAAACCGTAATTATTTACTAGTAGAGAGTAGGATATGTCCACAAAATAGAATATCCCATAAAACATTTTTGTGAATAGTCAAGGTCATTACCCTAATGCCGAAATCAGTGGAAATGTTTGCAACAATAGCAAGGCAGTGCTGCCAGATGAGAGAAAATAAAATTTGTTTATTCGAAAAATTATGAATAGGACATAATTCCGTATATGCTATACAGTATTATTATCCAGATGATGATTGCTGATCTAAACTAAATTCATAGGCCATTGATAGTTTGGGGGTCGTCTTATAGGACAGATATATGCTAAAACTATAAAACTTCGATAAAAATTTATACCTTGTCTTATATGCACAAATATATGGTATATGGAACTTGATCATCATTGCTAATGCTAACAAAATCTTCAAATTAATATGTAATATAAAGTAAAAAATAAACATAAAAAAATTATGAAAAACTTGCCATGTGTCTTTGGAATACAACACAATACTAGTGTTTACTAAGCCAGAAGTCAATGCTTATTAAGTATTTTTTTTATAAATGTCAATATTTCATAATTATCAATATTTTTAAAATGATCTATTTTACATAAATAAAAAAGTATATCAATCCCATTTGTCATATCAATTTAAGAGTTTATCTCAAATTATGTCAATATAATAACAGTAATGATTTTTGTAACTACTAATAGAAAATTTTGTAAAAGAATAAATATTTGAACAATCTTTCAAAAATTTTATAATTATAAATAACAACTGTATACAATTTTTCTACTAAACAGAAGACTTACTAACAGAAACTTAATATAGAAAATTTTTTAAGAAGAAATATTAACTAGATTCATATAAAAATATTCACCAAATCTACAGAAAATAAATACAATTGCATATTTTGCAATTATAACAGATATTGACTAATATAAAGTAAAATTATAATAATAATTCTATAAAAAAAAAGAATAATATAAAAATCTTTAAGGGTTTAATTTTGAATAAGAAAAATTCATTGCAACAAATTAATTGTTAGAAAACTGTCTACAAGTTCTAATTTCATATCATACAGTAATGTGCAAACTAATTTTTAAAAACAATAACTTTGTATTTTAATTTTATAAAAATTTTGTAATTTTCTCAAATTTTTAAATAAGTTTGAATTAATATTAAAAAAGTTAATAAATTTATGGATTATTTACAATAGATATAAGAGCCGAGAGAAATGTTTAATAACCCATCACTTGTATCTTATCAGTTTGATAAAGGCAAAACTTTATTTACAAGTTAGATTTGTTTAAGATTATTTATACAGATTTCACATATTATGTGTAGATATTTTAAATCCAGACAAATCAGTTGTAACTACTAATTTATTTACAGATTATTTATTATAGCTTTAGCTTAATTTTTAATAATATTTCTTTTTCTAACAATCACATCACTTAAAGAATTTTTTAATGAAATTTTTCAAAATTGAATAAAAATTTTCTCTACAAACAAATTTGTTTTTAAAATTATCTGCCGGAACGGATGGCTTTGAATAATTAATTATTTTCAAAACAATTCATGCATTAAAACATATTAAGAACATGACTATAAATATTTTATTTCCTTTTTTAACATTTTATTAATT